GGGCTATTGGATGTATGACATGAAGCCTGTTGAGAAAAGATGGCTTTTCCCGGATGAACTGGGATTGGATTCTAGTATCTCGAAATTGGTTTCCCTATATCTCCACCGGAAGACATGCGGCTCTGGCAGCAGCATACAGTGGGTTAGATTTGGGGGGGGGGAGGAGCCATGAAAGCATGAGTATCATCTGCATTTAGAAATATAACCCCGTGTTACTCCCCGGTCCGGTCGTCTTTACCAGACATTAAGTCAAATATAGGATTAATAATTTAGACAATAAGTTCCAGATCTAATAACTCACTTAACATACAAAAGTTTGAACAGAAAGGCATCCATTAGAAACACATAGACATGCATGAATAGTTCCAATACAGATTATTGCAAAAGCAGCTAATTAATCTAGCTAGGTATTGTCTACTCACGCTTTTCGCAGATATGCTTTAGCCATTGAGAGATCCAACTCGATTGCTCTGTTTGAATCCGCCACAGCCTCTACAGATATAGAAGATTTAACCATAGTTTTCCAAACTCATAAGATTAGTCATCCATCAAACGTTCTTTCTTTTTTGAAAAAGAGAAGCCCGTAAGAATCATCATAAGAGAAACTTGATTAAAGAAAGCATGTGCTTATTGTATGCATACGTACAAAAGTGGGCAACAAAATTTTATTCCAGAGAGTATAAAGACGTATATCCTTGAGCAAATCATATATGTCTATAATCAAGAGCTTTCTAGTATTTCCGAATGTATAAACACGCATGTCCTCGTGCAAAAGCATATATGTCCACAATCAAGTGCTATCTAGTCAATTTGCAGAAAAGATCTCTCAATTCCCAATACTAAAGGACACAAAAAACACGTTATTCAAATTTTCGGTAGCCTCCCGCTCCCCTCCAGTTATTCTCGCGAACCAAACAAAAACTACTGTTTAAGATTCTAAATGCCAAATGAATTGAACACCAATCACTGAAATCAGGACTTCACTAGTTTGTAAGAAAGAATACTACGCAAATTCAATTTTATAAAAAGATCCATTTCCATTATTGTTACTCCCTCGAAATTCTCTGTAACCAAACGAGACATCAGCTAAGCACCATATCGAAAAAACGGCAGAGAAATCACAATAAGAAGGAGAAATTAAACAGAAATAAAAGCGTATAGAAGGAGATTACGAAGTCACAATTACCGGTGAAGTTTTCGAGTTTGATATTGGCCTGAGCCCGGTCAGCGAAAAGCTCAGCGCTGTTAGGGTTAAGCGCAATTGCTTGCGTATATAGATCCACTGCAAGCTCGAAGTGGTCGTCGATGAAGGCCTCTTTGGCCTTCAGTTCGAGATCAGACGACGCCATGGATCACAGAGATTAGAACTGTCTAGAAGGGAACTAGAGAAAGAGAGAACCTGAATCGGAGAAGAGAGGGGGATACGTTAAGAATAAAGAGAGAATA